TCCTTTCCCTTAGCCACAGCAGGGCTGGCCTGCGTGCCCCTGGCCTGCGTGGAGACAGCGAATCCAGCACCGGGCGTGACCTGGGCTTCAGGACCTTTGTTTTCAAGGCCTCTCTTCGGTGCAGGATTCGTTTTCTCCTGGGAGAGGAGGGTGCTGCAGAGAAGGCAAAGGGGGTGGGGTGGCGCTCTGGAAAGCCCCCACTAGCCCATGAAACCGTCTCACCACTCACGCTGGGCTGAAATGCAATGGTCCCTTTCGGTCTTTAGGGCAGGAATTTCTGGTGGCATCCGGGATCTAGTGTCCTGCCATTAATGACGGGGATTCCCTGTTAGATTGATGCGTGCGGAGCAGAGCACTAATCTGGCAGCCCGTTCGAGTCTGTCCTCTTTAGGGGCAGGTCTTTCGGCCTCTGCTTCCAACCCCCCTTTCTTCTTGAGACTCCCGTTCCCACCGATCCCAGCAATCCAGGAAAGCCACACAGAGCCCATTCAAACGCCGTCTGGAATTGTCCTGTGTAGCTGCCTCACGGCAAGCGCAGGAGCCAGACACAGGCACGAGGACAAGTCCTCCCGATTTTCCAGCCATGCGGTACTGAAGAGACATGAGCTGATTGAGCCTGGGCTGTGTAGGTAATGGGTAGCGTATTGTCTGTGCGATTTGTGAGAGCTGTTCTCCATTCAAAGGATGGGTACAGCTGGATCACAGAGGTGCATGTTCTAGCAGACCTGTGTGTGTGTCTGCTCCACAAGTGTCACCAGTGCAACCTCCCAGGGCCGGTCGGCGGAACAAGCGCGCTGTGTTGCACATCACAACCCCTGCTCTGGGGCTCTGAAATGGCAGTGCCTGGGGGAAAAGGGCGCTCGGTTCTGCATTTTTCCCAAGCAGCCACCGGCACCTGGGGGCAGCTCCCCTCTCTCACGGCCCGCAGCGGTGTGAATCTGGAGTAGCTGCACTGAGAGCAATGGTCTTACACAGGTGTAAACAAACAGAATGTGGCCCCGGTTTGCTGTCTGTTACTCTGTGGTTGCCATAGCTCATCGTGTCCACCGGAGGAATTTTTTAATGAGCAAAATGTCCAGCCTCAGCAAAGGCCTCGTCTGTACTAGATGATGACTGCTCTGTAAATCAGCCAGAAACCGGGTCCATTATCCTGGGCAAATCCCTTAGGGTATGTCTACACTACCACCCTAGTTCGAACTAGCGGGGTAGTGTAGACATACCCTCTGTCAGGTGCACTACGCCAGTTTCACCTTTGCCTGTTTCGTTGGGACTGACTGGCTCTGCTGAGCCCCTTTAGATAAAGGCTAAACCATTTTAAGAGTAGCTGGAGATCATTAGTCTCTGGTTAAACTGGTGCATATTGCTAGCCTAGTCAGGGCCAAAGAGCAGGCATGGCAAAAAGCGTGAGGATCCTCCCTAGGCCATGTTTGAAGTTAAGCATCTGCTTAAGGACTTTGCTAGACAGGAGTCTAGGTTTGTTGATTAAACTCTTTCAGTTTTGAAGTGATCTTACAAACAGAAGTGCGGCGTGTTGATTGTGGCGCTGGCCTTGACGAGAGCCGCAAGCGATTGTGTTACAGGGCAGAGCTGCTGCTGGAGCAGCACAGCTTGTGTATTCGAGCACGTGGAACTTTGCAAGAACAGCCAGAGAGAAACTTCAGCCACCCTGCCAGCTTTGGGGTTCTCTTCTGCCCCTAGAACTGGGGGGCAGCCCGCAGCCGGGGCAGCTTGGCAGGCAGCAGCCGGCAGCACAGAAAGACAAATAAATACTCACCGATTCTTTTTTTCTTTTTGCAACTGCAAAACTGAATCCTGATGCTTTAAAGCACATTTCCCACTCCCCAGACAGCACCTTCCGAGTGCAGGCCAGGGACATGCGGCGAGGGGAGCTTTAATACACAGACATTTCATAGGACAGCCAGCCTCAGCGATACACGGAAAGCCATGGAGGGAGAAGTGGGCGTCCGTAGGAATATAACAGCAGCCACCCCTGCCCCCCGTGAGTCATCGCGCATTTACAAAACCGAATGTGAATCGCGAGGGACCCGGGCGGGAGGGGACAACACTCGTCACTGCCCAGAAGTGACGCTCGCCGAGGGCAAGCAGTGGCCGCCTCACTCGTCCCAAGCTTTGCAGACTTTGTTCAGAGGGGTGATTTTATCGATGTCCCGCAGGGAAAGCCCCTGCCTCTCGCTCTGTCCGTTCTGCGCAGGGCAGGGAGTGCTGGGGGGCAGGCTCTTGAGGCAGACGGAGGTGGAGGTTTCCCTGTCTGTGAAGATCTTGTTTCGCACGCAGAAGCCGCTGGCGCTGGCCACCGCACCCCGGGAGCTTGCGGGCGGCTTGGAAGCCCCGCTTGAAGTTCTCGTTGAAGTAGCCGTAGATGATGGGATTGATGCCGCTGTTGGAGAAGGCCAGCCAGTGGGCAAAGGGGAAGATGTAGCCCGTCAGCAGGTCCAGCTCCTCGTCCTCCAGCTTGGCATAGTCTGTGAACAGCATCAAGGTCCACAGGGGCAGCCAGGAAAGCATGAAGAGCAGGGCCACCAAGGTGAGCATCTTAATGACCTTGACCTTCCGCCTGGAGACGGCCGCGCTGCCGCACTCCTGGCTCTCCACGCTGTGCTTGCTCACCGGGCCCGCCGACCGGTAGAGCTTGGCCCCGATCCTCCCGTACATGGCCACGATGAGGGTCAAGGGGGCCACGTAGATGTGGGCGAAAAGGACAGTGGTGTAGACCTTGTGCATCTCGCTGTTGGGCCAGGCCTCGTAGCAGGAGTACAGGGGGAAAGCCAGGCTCTGGTTGCCGTCGTGCACCATGTAGTGATCCTCAATCTGCACCACCGTGAGCATGACAGCAGAGGGGCACATGATGGCGATGGCCAGGACCCAGATGACCGCGATGGTGTTCAGGGCCTTGAGCAGGCTGAGCTTGGATTTAAAGGGGTAAATGATGCAGCGGAACCTGGTGCAAAACCAACACAGGGGTAGGTGAGTTCTATGCCAAGACACGACCACAGAGCAAGACCCGAGAGACGTCTAAGCACAAAGCAGGCCCGGATTCTCCTGGGACGTGGTGCGTGATTACCCTGGGCCAGGAAGACTGGTCGGTAACTCCCTGATCCTGCCCCGTTGTGCCCTGTGCCTGCAGAGGTGGAAAGGGGCAAGGCTCTACAATAGCTAATCAAGGGGTGAGCAATAACTGACCCGCAGGCCGGACGAGGTCCACCAGGATTTGCTCCTGGCAGGCCAACGCTGCTTTATTGACCTGCACTTCCAAAGGTACGGCCGCCTGAAGCGCCCATTGGCTGCAGATCACCGTTCCTGGCCAATAGGAGCTGCAGGAAGCGGAGTCTGGGTGCACAACACTTCCCGCAGCTCGTGATGGCCGGGAACAGCGCTCTGCAGCCAGCAAGAGCATTGAGTGGCTGTAACTGCAGCGGCGCAGGTCAATAAAGCGTCTGCTGGCCCACCAGGGGCTAACCCTGGTGAACCACCTCCAGCCTATTGCCCACCCTGACCTACGCCAACCACTTGCTGGATTTTCAAAACCACTTGGTATTGGCCCAATGCTGCTTCTGCTGAGGTCATGGTCAAGCTCTCATTGCAAGAGAAGAGGTGGAACCCTGGCCATTGACTTCCACAGAGCTTGGACCACATTCTGCAGTAGAGGTTCCTGTTCTCATTGATGACGTGTGTTGCCCAGTCATGGAGCAGGCCTCTGCTGTGCTCGGCGCTGCACAAACACAGAACAAAGAGCTGGATCTAAGTGTCAGACAAGCTGTGATGGATAGGTGGAGTGCTGGCCAGCACGCAGTGACTAAAGGGTTAAGCTCAGGTAGCTCAGGGTGTTGGAAGGGGGCCAGGAGAACCAATGGGATACAGGGCTGCAATTTAAACCCTGCTGCCCTTTCTTGTGTGCGAGTGCTAAGTGAAGGGTTGGAGGGAGCAAGATGCAGTAACCAGAATCACCATGCCTACAAGGAATATTGGGCGTGGGATTGAACTGGGCCTTGCAGTACGGATCAGCACAGATCGTGAGTAGCGAGAGGAATGCACGTTTAGTCACCATCAGGGTAATTTTGTTTTAGTTGCTTGGTTAAGCTTCTCTGTGTAAAATCCATGTGCTCTCCCCCCCGCCCCATTCACTAAGCTGTACCCAGAGATACTGTGTTCTCTGTCTTTTAATTTGTTTTTCTCAGTTGCTCTGTGACACCTAGCAACCAAGTCTGCTTTCTTAAGGATCTCTGTTTGGGTTTGTTAATAAAATCATCCGTGTTAAGGTGATGATTTGATTCTTGTGTCCTGCAAGGTAACAAGTCTCCATGGGTGCTGCCTAGCCTGGGAGGTCAGCTATCAAAGACACACTTTGTTTTCTTCATTGTCTTTTGTTTCTTTTTTCAAGCTCTTTTGTGGCAGAGGAACTCGGGATGCCCTAGGGAAGGAATTCAAGTGTTCCTTCCTGGTTTGTGAATATTCTTTAAAATCACTTGATGGTGGCAGCCTGTATTCCAGGCCCAGTGAATCTGTGACTCTGAGGAGTTTTTTTGCAAGAAGAGCCAACAAAGGCAAGGTATTTAAGGTCTTTTGTGGGCCCCCACCTTCTGCACTTGGAGTGCCGGAGTGGGGGAACAGCCCTGATATGATCCCATTTCTGCCACCATGTCAGGGCGGTTCCCCACCGGACTTCTTATTACTGCTGAAATGGTCTAACACGGCTCCCCTTCTGAAGCCTGTCGACATGATCATGGTGGGGTTTATGTGGGCTCATGGTAAAGGAGATTGGACGATTAAGGTTTGTGGTTGTTTAGGAGGTTCTCATTCCTTGCACGAGGGGCAGAAGACAGGAGAGCTTTTAAATGAAAACCCAGCCATTTGGGGACATTTTTTCATGAAAATGTGTTTGGTCAAAAACCATCCCCATTAAAAAAAAACCCACCATCAACGAAACACCGTCCTGCCACTTAACTTGCAGCAAGCTCTAAAAATAACGTTTGTATTTGGCCAGGAGTATTGCCAGGTGAGCTGGAAGCAGGAGCCCTTCTTGCCTGGTATGTGACCTCTGACGGGCCATACCAGCTGCCCTCAGAGGAAGGTTCTGAAAAACCTGCCACGGGCATTTATGGAATAACCTGCCCGGGGGGATCTTTCTTCCTCACTCTGATCAGATAGGCTATGCCTAGACTACGCCGAAGTTCCGAAAGAGGATATGCAAGTTCTGAGGGAATTTGCATATCTTCTTCTGCTCTCACTTTCAAAAGCGGAGCTTTAAGGTTTGAGGTTCACGCGGCTTTTCGAAAAAGGGGGGGGGTTGCCGAAAAAAACACGTCCCGACTACTTTTGCTTTCGAAAGTAAGATCAGAAGAAGATTTGCATATCCTCTTTCGGAACTTCAGCGTAGTCTAGACGAGCCCTTAAGAGGCCACATGTGCCCAGAAGCAGGAAAATAGAACCAAAGGGCCTACCCTTCCATTCCAGCCTTATCTAGAGGTTGCAGGTACACTCATGACGCCAAATTCCCTCGGTTACCCTGCCCATAAGATTGCAGACCAAGAAAGGCTGCATTTGACTGAGCTAATTGTCTGCCGGAGCCACATTGTGCTGAGGTGAATGGCTGTGAGGAGGCACCCGGCTCGTCGTGATTAAAACCTATGGGAGTGGAAATAACCTTTGTGATTCGGGCTGTTTCTTATTGGGAACAATTTTGGAGTTATTAATTCAGCAGCTCTATAACCATTCTCCGAGTAATTGAGTTTTTAATTAAACGTACTTTTCTCGTCACCATATCAGCCTTTGGAGCAGTCCCCACTCAGTGTAGCGTCACAAATTTCAAACGTGACAGGGGCTGATAAAGGGAAGAGGAGCTGCCCTGTCTTGCCCCTCGTGGGGGCAGGTTCTAGCTGATGGCGGCACTCGCGGCTCTCTGTGGAGATCAGGGGCGGGCAAATACCGGACTCTGGGCTGGATCCGGTCTGCTCGGGTTAGCCCTGGCGGGCCCTCGCCACCATCTTTACCTGCACCCCTGCAGGTCCACGAGATCGCAGCTCCCCATTGGCTGAAGATGGCTGTTCTCGGCCAATGGGAGCTACGATCGCCCGTGCCTGCGGAATCGCTGGTAAATATAGCACCAGCGGCCCACCAGGGGCTAATCCTGGGGAACCGCCACCCTGTCCTTGCCCCTCCCCGGTGTAGAAGGAGCTTGGGGCTTGCAGGCATCCCTTGGGCTGGCCTGGCCCGGGCCCCTTCCTGGCACGTGGAGGGCGTGGCCAGTGCCGCCAAGAGCTTTCCCAAAGGCTGCGCGCTTGATGCTACTGTCCAGCTCCTCCCTGCCTGCGCCCCCGCCACCCGGGCTATTGTCGGCGCTGCTCTGTGGGCCACAGACCCCACCTGGCCGGCAGCTCTGCAAGCGCACGATGGGGGGCGGCGACCCGGCCGACAGGCCCAACAAGTGACCTTCTCCAGGGCCATCCTCAGAGTTTATGGGGCCTGACGCTGCACTCCTGAGCCCCACGCCGCGCAGCGGGGGAGGGCTGAGGGTGTCGTAGAGCTGTGATTTTTAGACTCTTCACTCACCCCCGTGGGAAATACTTTACAGCGGATTTTAAACTCCGGGCCTGTCGACGTGTGGTCAGTTCAGACACCGGCAGTATCAGCTTGGGGCGGGCAAATGCCTGTTCGACGGCTTCATTCCCACTCAAATGGCCCTTCCCCAGGCGTGGGGTCTGCCCACCACTCTGCCAGGTGGCGTTACTTCTAAAGTCACTAGCTCCTCTCCGGAGGAAGCAGGGATAGGAGGAGGCGGGAGGGTGGACACTAGGACCCAGCGGTGCCCCAAATTTTTGGGAGCCCCACACAGCTGTGTATTCTGCACACGGGGCCCTGAGCTTCTCCGACCGGCGCTTTGAACCTGGCACCGAAGGGGCTTTATCTGAAGTCAGGGCTCGGGGGACGCTGTTGCCGATCCGCTTCCCCTCCCCCAGCCCCTTCTCACCTGTCCACGGCAATCGCCACCAGTGTGAACACGGAGGAGGCCACGGACATGCCCTGCACCAGCCCACTCATCTTGCAGACGCCGTTGCTGAAGGGCCAGCCTAGGGCGCTTTGAACCTGGCACCGAAGGGGCTTTATCTGAAGTCAGGGCTCGGGGGACGCTGTTGCCGATCCGCTTCCCCTCCCCCAGCCCCTTCTCACCTGTCCACGGCAATCGCCACCAGTGTGAACACGGAGGAGGCCACGGACATGCCCTGCACCAGCCCACTCATCTTGCAGACGCCGTTGCTGAAGGGCCAGCCTAGCAGAAAACAACCACACGCAGGGTCAGTGGGAGGCGGAGGGAAGCTGACGCCTCCCTCACCCCCCACCACTCGGCTGCCCCAGGAAAAGCCACGGCGCTTGGCTGTCCCCAGGGGAGATCGCCCGGGAGAGTGACGAGAGAGGATGCTGTGGCCGAACACAGCTCCAGCCGCGGGCTGCAGCTAACGAGACTCCCTGCAGCCTGCATGCTGAGCCCCCACCCAGCAGAGAAGCTGTTGGGGGGACTCCATCGTTCATAGCTCTTCTCTGCCAAGCCATGAGGTGCTGCAGGGCAGAGTAGTGTGGAAGCCCAGACCTGGGGCAACTGTCCCCGTGGCTCATTGAGGCGATGCATCCGGGTCCTGTGGGAGCTCTGGACTTGCCATCACACAGAGTGTTCACTAGCTGGGTTGCGGGGCAGGCAGGGAGCACAGCAGGTCTGGCCTGGTGTCTCCTGGCAGTGGCAAGTTTGCTCAGGAAAACAACTTGCTGCCCTTCACCCTCCCAGGATGTGGGGCGCCAGCAACCGCGGACGCGTCAACGTGTTAGACAGAAACAACCAGAAGTCCAGTGGCACCTTAAAAGACTCACAATTTTTCCCTGGAGTGAGCTTTGGTGAACCGCGACTCCCTTCCTCGGAGGCAGGATGGGAAAGAAAAAGAACCAGAGAGTGGGGATACCGAGATTACGTCAGAGCGAATTCAATCCGGGTAGATGTGGAGACGAAGGTTGAGTTGGCTCTGATGTGACTCTCCCACGGCTGAATCCCCACTCTCTGGTTCTTTTTCCGTCCCTTCCTGCCTCTGAGGAGGTGCATTGCCACTCTCGAAAGCTACACCAGTACAGAAGAGATTGTCGATAAGATGCCCCCGGACTCCTTGTTGTTTTTGTTGAAACAGACGAACACGGCTCCCCCCGGACCTGAGCTAGACAGGGGCATTGTTTTTCCAGGGTCCAAGGCCAAGAACACAGGTGCCAGCTGCCTCCCACGTGGCCCCTCTGGAAAGGGCATTATTCCCTGCTGCTCCTGGGAAGGGGCAGGCAGTACTTAGTCTTTCGCCCTGCCCAGGCCATGACAGCGCCAGGGAAAAGCCCATGTGTGCTCCAGAGGGGTGGGAGTGGCCGTGCTCAGCAGACACTCCCTGAAGCCCGTGGGAACAGCACTAATCCCTGCGGAGCACCCAGGTGCCCGTGCGCTGGCTCAGGAATGCAAGCAGAGAGGGTCCTGGCCCATTCTACAGTGCAAGCGGCACACAAAACAGTAGCACCCCGGTTTCCAGATCCAGAAGGCAACCGCGGGCTTTGGACCAAACCTGCAGCCCCCACAAAATGCACTGCACCGTGGAGCAGAGCAAGTGGGCTGGTCCCTCGGAAGTCCATGGGAGCTAGAGGCATTCGCCCCCTTGCAAACGAGGCAGCATTTATTTAGGCTGTGTCCGCACTGGGGAGGTTTGGCGACAAAAGGGCTGTCGAAGGCAAAAGTGAAAAATGATCAAACCGTTTTTTCTGCCTCCCGTTATCGATATTTCATGGCCATCTTGCTAGCACCCTGTGGACAGATAGAGCAAAGCATTGTGGGTAAGCATCCCACAATGCGGTGGTGCAGGAAGGCCGAGCTGATCCCTGTGCTTTTTGGGATTCCCTCAGAGCTCTGGAAGCTCCCTGTGCTGAGAAATGTCAAAGCAGCAGGGCCGTCTCTCCAGCCCTCCAGCTGCAGCAGCAGCCTTCCTGCTCCTAGCCAGGCAGAACAGGCGCAGTCCAGTGAGATGCTCTTTGTTTGTTCCCCAAAGGGAGCAGCTCACTTAGCTGTCAGACACTTCCCGGAGCTCTGAAAGGGGGAGGGGCGCAGGCCTGCAGGGCAGCAGAGCTCACAGAACACTGAGCAGAGCCAGCAGGGCACAGTGGGATACTGGCAGAAGCCAGTTCTCTCGACAAAACAAACAGCAGAGTCCACACTGGCTCTTTGTCACCAATAGAGAGAGGGGAAAAGACAAAAGTCTATGCCAGAGCTGGCAAGTTTTTTGTACCCAAAACTTGTTGTTTTTCCAAAGGCAGTTTTCGGTGACAAAATGTGCCAGTGCGGACTAGCCCTTATTAGGGATCTGTTACAAGGCACCCAGGTTTGCAAATGCTGTCTGGTTTTGCACCACTGGTGAGACCCTAACTGATCCCAGTCCCTCTCAGATGTTCACACCTTCATGCGTTCCCATTGCAATGGCAGTGCCGGTGTTCTAAGGCTGCTCAGGTCGGACTCGTTCCCTTTCGTTGGGCATTTATAAGCCAATTTCCTTCTCCAAAGCAATACGTCTCAGCCGACACCTCCCCTCCTGAGGCAGAGGGATGTAAACAGCCTGGACAGTGACAGAACGTGCCTGAGAACCCAGAAAATGGGATTGGATCACTCAGCACTCATTAACTCTTGCCGGCGGGACGCTGCTGGTGTTCTGGCCAGCACCGAGAGCCCTGTAGCCCCCCTCTCTCCTTACCTGTGATTAAATTGTCCACCAGTGTGGTGGGCACACAAAAAATCCCCACCAGCAAGTCGCTGATGGCCAGGTTGAGGATAAAGAGGTTGGTGACGGTTCTCATCCGGCTGCTCCTCAGCACCACGAAGCAGACCAGACTGTTCCCAACCATGCACAAGGCAAAGATAAACAAGTAGGAGATGATATAGATGGCAGCAACGGGCGGGGAATGCTGGTAATAGGGCAAATAGGTCAAGTTCCGATTATGGGCCGTTAAAGAAGAGACTGTCTTGTTGATTCTGCCTTCTGACTCCATCCCGGAGCCATCCATGGCATGGCAGGAATCCCACTCCACTGCAAAAGACCACAGGAGAATTATGGGGATTTCTGTGTTTTGACAAAAGAGACGTTTCGGTGTGGAAGGTTTGTGACAAGACCCTCCAAAAAAATGAGTATCGGTCTCAGAGGAGTTGCCGGGTTAGTCTGTAACTTTAAAACCAATGAGCAGTCCTGTGGCACCTTAGAGACTAACAAAAATATAGGCTCATGGGGTGAACCCCACCAGATGAGTTAGAGTGGAAATAACAGAATCCAAAATATACGTAACAGTAAAAGCGGTTAGCTATCAATTGTAGGACCCATGCTAATGAGGGTAATTAGGCGGGCTGGATGTGTCCCATTCATTGCTTTTGATGTGAAAATGTGAACATCAAAAGCAGGGGAAATTGGCTTTGTAGTGTGTTAACCAGTTAATGTCTATTCCAGCCCAGGATGACAGTGTAAATGAATTCCAGTTCCGCACTCTCTCTCTCTGTAATTGGGTGATAAAATGCCTTTGCAGAAGAAGGGTTACTTCTAAATCCAGGACTGAGTGCCCAGACAGGTTACTATGTTCCCTTGCAGGTTTGTGTGTGTATCATTTCTGATGTCTGATGTGTGTCCATTTCTCCTTTGTCGCAGAGACTGGCCGGTTTGGCCACAGACATGGCAGAGGGACGCTGCTGGCACCTCATGGCCTAGAGCACAGTAGCGGATGTGCAGTTGCATGAGCCCCTGCTGTGGGGGTGTATGTGGTTCAGTCCTGTATAGGTGTGTGGACAGAGTTGGCAAGGGGGTTCCTGGGTGAGTGTAGCTGACGTGTAGTGTGTGGCTGCTGGAAAGGATTTTCTTCAAGTCGGGGTTTGTCTGCAGGCGAGGACTGGCCTGTCTCCCAAGGCCTGTGAGAGTGAGGGATGGTTTTCCAGGCTAGGCTGTAGCTTGTCAGTGGTGCACTGGAGGGGTTTCGGGGTGTGCATAGGGGTGTCAGTGTGACACAGACCGAGTTGAGATCGGTAGATCTGCATCGGGCTAGAGGCCAAAGCGGGGACAGGTGGATTGGTGAAAACCAGAGAAATGAGCAGGAATATTTGTGCAGGGCAATTTGCCTGGATATGTACAAACCAGCTTGGAATGCGGCAGATGAAGTAAACAACTTATTAACTCCTGGACAGAACATTAATGGGAGAGACAGGGCTGAAGGGAAAATCCACCCGGCAGAAAAGTCATCTGCATAATTGGCATTCCATTATTGGCTTTGTGTAATTAGTTTATGTACATAATGAGGGCGAGCACAATGACACCATGGGAGCAGGAGGCACGGCTGTGTAATTATTACGCCTTTTAATGAGCAGGTGACACAAGAAACCAGATCCTCAGCTGGTGTGAATTGCCGGCTCCCCAGAGCGCTGAGCGGATCTGCCCTTCGGGTTCCAGGCCAATTCCATCCCCTGCATTTGGAGTGTCTCCCTGCCCCCGGGGAGGTCTGCATGCTCAACAAGGGAGAGGGCTAGACCCCAGGGAGGGAGCAGGGGGCTTGGTTTAGGGGCAGCTAATAGGACAGGGGGAAAAGGCCTGAGGCAGAGCTGCCGAGGGCCTGGGGCAGCTGACGTGGGTTTGTAGGGCTTGGACTGCAGAGCTCTGAAGCTGCCCCCTGGCCGTTCCCGCTCAGGGTGTGGCTCTGACATGACCCCACCCTCCACCCCATCTCCGGGGCTGTCCTGCTGTGATTGCCACTGTGTGTTTAAGTGCAAAGGACTTTTCACAATGGGCCCGTGGTGAGGAACGGAGCGCCAGCGTCCGCCTCTGGCCGCTCACCAGAGGAGAGGGCCTCAGGGAGGAGTAACTCTGGGTATCTTGACCCAGGCCTGCATGACAAAGGAGGGACGCATGGTCTAGGGAAAACCCTTCTTGACTAGACGTCCGTGGCTTGCCAATACCCCCAGTGGAAGGACCACTCGAGTGATGCTGACCGGGGCTCTGTCTGGGTCCAGTGCTGTTTCCGTGAGTGGCTTAGGGCAGAGGACACCGCGCTGGGAGGGGCTGCAAGCACCCGAGCAGACGGGCTTCGAATCCGATGAGAGCTGGGTGGATGGAAGAGCTGGGCGAGAGCCGAGCGATGAAACAGCAGCGACGAGTGCGAGGTGCTGCCGAGAATGGCCAGCCTCAGACGCGGGAATACCTGGCCCAGCAGCAATACCGCAGGCAGGACGTTTGGAGTCGTGTGGGGCTGTATGAACAAGAGTGGGGTTCCATTGTTCCTGTGTTAGACGGGGAGGGGGACATATGGCCCCCAGCTTGCCTGGACCTGGCCTCCCCCGCTAGGCTCCTGCACCCTCCCGCACCCCACACACACTGAACCCTGCATTTCAGAGCCTGTGGGGGGCACAAAATCTACTAGCCCAGCCCCCCAGGCTCTGGTAGGGGAGGCGAATGTGAGAGAGTCTCTCTGCTTCTCGGGCGGGGCCCCGTCAGCGAGAGGTCTGGCGTTTTGTTTGGTTGGTTGTTCTCACTTTTGTGCATCCCTGTGACCCAAAAAGGGCTCCCAGCCCCGTGCTAGCCATGGGAGGTATCATCCCTGTGCGCTAGGCGAGGCCCCTCCATGGCCAGTTCTGGGGACCGCGGATTAGGGAAGTGGGAACCAACTGGAGGGAGTCCCGAGGGCGGGAACCACACGAGAAGAGGTTTGGAAAACTCGGCCTGGGAGGAAAGGTTGAAAGAACTGGGCCTGTTTCGAGAAGAGAAGGGGGGGGGGGACCGGTGAGTCTCCAAATGCATGAGACTGTGACGGGGCGTAGCCACGAGCGGGCCTGGGTGGGCTGGGCCACCCACTAACCATACAGACCCACCCGCCCCCCGCCCTGCCTCTGCCCTCTGGAGTGGGGGGGCCTTGCCCCTCTCCACCTGGGCTCCAGCTGAGCCAGGGAAGTGGGGTCGGGCGCGGGCCCTGCTCCGCTTGCTTAGCACTCCTGGCAGGGAATTGCAGGCTCCATGCTCCAACCCCTGGAGCAGTGGGAGGGGGGCACAGGGGTGGGGGTGCAGGGCACCCATTTTGAAGGGGTCTCCCTTTTCATTGCACCCTGCCCCTTGCCACCGCTCCCTCCCACACCCTGCATGCCCTCCTGCACCCAGCCCTCCTCCCGGCCCTGCCCCCCAACTCCCTGCCCCAGGTCACAACCCCCTTTCACCCAAACTCCCTCCCAGACCCCACAGCCCTCCTGCACCTCAACCCCCTCCCCGAGCTCCCTTCTGCACCCTCCCTCCCAGACCTGCCCCCCTCCATTAATACCATGGATGAGTGCGGCCCTTCACCACTCAACCAGAGTCTCGGAGGCCCCCTGCCCCTGCCAGGCATTAGCGCCCAGCCCAGGTTAGACCGGCGGGAAAAGGTTCTGACCCCAAGGGGAGTTAGGCGCAGGAGGCTGTGGACTCCCCGTCCCGTTTGAGAGCAGCTTGGACAAAGGCCTCGCAGGGCCGGTCGCGGGTCGTGTGGCCCTGCCTGGGGCAGGGGCTGGACTGGGCGCCGCGAGGTCTCTGGGGGGTGGCGGACGGGGAGCTGGGAGGAGAGTTTCTACCGAGTTTGCATCCAGAGAAAATACGAAGCGGGGGGGGGTCCGATCCTCCCCTCCCCCTTCGCTCCCCCAGAGATGGACGCCCCGGGACGGAACGGGCCTTTTCCCTCCTTCACCTCTGCTGTTGGCCCGCTGGCGGCGTGGGACCCTGGGGGCCTCCTGCCGAGGGCGGCTCTGGGCCATGAAGCTTCGCTGGACCAAGGGGGTTTGTGGGCTGCCTGGTGCCGTGACAGCCAGGTCAGAGAGCCACTTGGAAGCTGGCGGGCACCCTCCAGGGAGTCCTGCCCTACACCCTGAGGCCTTTTCCCTCCTTCACCTCTGCTGTTGGCCCGCTGGCGGCGTGGGACCCTGGGGGCCTCCTGCCGAGGGCGGCTCTGGGCCATGAAGCTTCGCTGGACCAAGGGGGTTTGTGGGCTGCCTGGTGCCGTGACAGCCAGGTCAGAGAGCCACTTGGAAGCTGGCGGGCACCCTCCAGGGAGTCCTGCCCTACACCCTGAGCAAACTCCCTGGGGGGCCCTAGAAGCCACCGGCTGGGCTGGGCTGGGCTGGGCTTTCGGGTGGGTGGGGAAGTCCAAGGAACCTGCTCCACTGTGGCCCAGTGAGGATCAACCCCCCCCCCCCCCCCACCTCACTCCTTCCTCATGCAGCCGGCCAGACCCATAGCTCCACGGGGAACCGGGGCTTCACCCATCCTGCCATTAGTCTCTGTCCAGTTGCGCCCAGGGACGCATCCCCAGGTGCCCGGGTCCCAATCCGTGTGGCCCTGCTGCAGGCCAGGGACAGAGGGCGCGGTACTGCCCCCTCCTTCCCCCGCCCTCCCCGCAGGCCCTGATCTTTGACTTTCCTTGCCCCCCGGTGCTGCCCACAGTGTCCACACGGCTGGAGTCCCGCTAGGGCCTCGTGGAGTTCTCCCCCCACTCTCCGGAGCCACAGGGCAGACCCTCCCGGGCTGCAGCCTCTGCCCCTGCATTTGGCTGGCTCCTCCCCACGCCTGGTGCCAGGCACGCAGGGGTTCATCTAGGCTGTGCAAGCGGCAGCTGACACCTCTCCCCCGGGGACCAGAGCCGCTAGGACCCCAGCAAAGGAGGTCGCAAGTGGCCTGGACATCACGCAGTGCAGATAATGGTCTGGCCGTAGCCCCGGGGGACAGCCGTGGTGCAGCCATGTGCCCAGTGGACAGCCCGGGGGCGGGGTGCTGGCCCCCAGAGCCCGATTCAGCGGTGCACGGATACAAGGGGTTCCCTGCCCTCTCCTCCAGCCCCCCACAGCCAGTGTGCCACGTGGAGGGGTGACATCTCAGCCCAGGCTGAGTGACCCGGGCCCTGCACTCTCCCGGGGGCCTGTTGAGTTTCGCCCATTAGGGGAGCACCGATCGATCACGTTCCCCTGAAAGAGCTTTCAAAGTTCCCTGCTCCATGGTGCCCTTCTCTGACCCGGAGGGTCTGTGCTGGTTCGGAGAAGTTAGCCGTGCCAAGGCTCTCCCTGCGTCTCATTCTGCTCTGTGGATCCATGACCCATCACTTACCGGGAAACGTCAACTACCTGCCCTAGCTCCCTCTGCCTCCTTGAGAGGGGGGCGTCAGATTTCGCATCCATTTCGGCTGTCCGGAGAACAGCGTCCCTCCTCCGCAGGGCAGCTGCACAGACTATCCGGAGTCATTTCCTTTCTTACCTGTGTGCTCTAGGAGTCGAGGGAATCCTTCCTCCAGGCTGGCCGGAGCAGCTATCCACTTCCCATTTAAAATCTTCCGTTCCCAGCACACGAAGAATGGGCCCGTTTAAAGAAAGAACAAAAGAAAGGTCTGATCGCTGCACGGTCTAACTGGGACCCCTCAGTCCATGGCGCTGCGGTGGAAATAAACGCGAGCCGGTTCCGTGCTGGCAGGGGGGCGGGGCGGCTGTTTCTCACACGCGTCTCTGCCGGCGCTCAGACTGAATGCAGCCTCCGAGGTCCCCTCTATTATACAGACAAGAGCAGTGATGTCACCGAAAAGGCTTCAAAATGCAGAGAGACCCGCTGGAAGGGCCTCCCAGGGCGAGGATCTGTCACTTTCCCACCTCTCCCCCCCCCCGAGCCCCGTCTCGCCGGGCAGCTGTTCCATTGTTTTGGTCTAACAACAGGGTTTGACCATCCCCTTTAAAGCAGCGTCGAATCACTGGGGGGGGGGGCAGATCTCGACCCGGCTCTGTCATCAGCAGGTCGTGGGGGCAGGCCTGGGGGGCGTGGGGATGTGATTAAGGGTTTGAACAACTTCGCCCCAGCCTCTCCAAGCACCTGACAAAATCCACAGCCCTGGGGAGGTGAATCCGATCCCCTGCTCCTGGAATCACAGAGCACTGGAACGGGAAGGGACCTGGAGAAGCATTAAGCCCAGTCCCCTGCCCTCACGGCAGGACCCAGCCTGGTCCAGACCATCCCTGACAGGTGTCTGGCCAACCCGCTCTTCGGTATCTCTAGTGATGGAGATTCCACAGCCCCCTAGGCTGACCTGGGGGGGAAATCTGGGACCCTGACAAGGGCCCGGCCTTGCCCTTCGGCTTCCCATTCCCAGCCCCCTGCACGGACTGAACCAGCTCACCAGCCCTAGGATCCCTGCTGGCCAAACAGCTCCGTGCAAGACCAGAATTCCCAGGCCCCACCCGCCCCGGGAGCGCTGCGCTGTCCTTCGCCGTCGGCTGAAATCGCAGCCCCTTACGCGTTGCTTCTTTCAGTGCTGCCTCCTGGCGCTGGTCTGGCAGCCGGGGCCCAGCGTGGGCACCATCATTCCGGACGCTGGCCCAGTGGAAGAGGCGGCTGTGCCGGTCACACACACAGGATGGGCCTCTCCGCAAGGCGGAGCACGGCGCCGAGGCAAGCAGGAGGCAGCGGGCGGGCGGACAAGGGGGCGCCGGGTTAGTTTGTGACTTTAAAAACAAGGAGCCGGCCTGGGGCACCTTAGAGTCAGTAAGGTCTTCAATGGAAGTAAAGGAGCAGCCCTTTGGGCAGTCAAGCCTATGGGTGTCAGTTAATTAGCTTCAGCCAGCCTTGGCAAGGCACACTAATGCTTTGGCTGGTCATATAGGCACGTCCCTGGGGAAATTACAGTCAGCCCATCCTCTTAACCTCAGTATATGCTGGAATGAAATTCAGCAGATAAATCTGACGCAGGTTAGGCACAACACTCATCTTTCTCCTGGCTGTTTTACCAGCAGGAGCTTACATACTGGAGTGAAATATCTAGGCAAGGGAGCAATGTTTCCTGTAAGCTGTGCACTTGGGCAACTGTGCCTCAGGAGAGATTCCAATGCCACCCAGCTGATCAGTAGGCAGCATGTGTTTCTACTAGTGGTGCACATCTGCACGTGTGTCAGTGCACAGAACAAAATGTATTCTGCACACGGATGGAAAAATAGAGGGAACATTGTTAGGGAGATGCTATTTGTCTCTACAAATGCAAAAAGTGCGAATAAACAGGAAGAATTGGAAGTATTGGTACAATATGATGAATTATGATTTCACTGGTGTCCCAGACACTTGGTGGGGTAAATCACATTACTGTATGATAGATACAGAGGGGTATAGCTTATTCAGAAAGGACAGGCAGGGGGAAAAGGGAGGTGATGTTGCATTATAGGTCAAGAATATATACCCTTGTGCTGAGATCTAGAAAGGGGTGATAGGCAAACCAGGTGAGAGTCTCTGAGTAAAGACAAAATGGGAAAATGCCAGGGTATCTCCCCTGGTCAAAAGTCTCATATAAGTCTGGATCTGCAAAAACATCAAGGAGTCCTGTGGCACCTTAGCAACTAACAGAGTAAAACCCACTTCATCGGATGAATTGGAGAGTGTACGGAGACAGGGGAGGGGTATCTATATAAAGAAGGAGGGTACTTGGGTAAATGAGGCCAATCAAGTCAGGATGTGGAAATGTGGCTATCAGGAGAGGGGAAATGGCTTTGTAGGGCGTTAGCCAGTTCAGATCCTTGTTCAATCCTAAGTTGACAGTGTTGAATTTGCCAATGAGCTCCAGTTCAGCTGACTCCCTTTGTAATGGGGTTTTGAAATTCCTTTGTGGGACGGCTACTTTTAAATCCATCGCTGAATGTCCAGGGAGGTTAAAACATTCCCCTGCAGGTCTGATGTGTGTCCATTTCTCCTTTGTCATAGAGACTGTCCGGTTTGGCCAACAGATGCGGCAGAGGGGCCTTTCCGGCACATGATGGCCTAGCGCACCCGAGTGAATGGGTCTGTTCCAGAGCAGCAATTCAAGAAGAGCCGGTGCGTGTGTCATTTGTAGAGCACATAGCAGAAATACCCAAACTGCGAGGCCTGACAGTAAATGGGGGGACTTTAACTATCCTGGTGTCTGTGGGGAAAGGGATATGGCAACTTCCTGAAGGGGGTTCCAAAGAGGCTGGAGAGAGGCTGTTCTCAGTAGTGACACATGGCAGAACAAGGAGCAATGGGCTCAAGTTGTGGTGGGAGAGGTCCAGGTTGGATAGTAGGAAAAACTATTTCCCTAGGAGGGTGGGGAAGCACTGGAATGGGTTCCCTAGGGAAGTAGTGGAGTCTCCATCCCTAGAGGTGTTTAAGTCTCGGCTTGACAAAGCCCTGGCCGGGTTGACTGAGTTGGGGTTGGTCCTGCTTTGGGCAGGGGGCTGGACTTGATGACTCCTGAGTCTCTTCCAGCTCGATGGTTCTATGATTCTACGAATAGAAAATGTCCCCCAAACACTTGGCATGTGCTGGGGACAGCGTCTTGTTTCAGAAAGTGAAGGAAACAGGCTGGAGGTGGCTCTTTCTGAGCAGCAGGGAGGAGCTGGCAGCGAATCCGAAGGTGAAAGTGGCCGTGAGCATGCTTCATTCTGAACATACGCTGAGCGTCCACGCGGAAAGAATAATGGGTCTGATTTTTAAAATGTCTACAGCCCTCCCTGAGGACAACGGAGAACTCCCCTGCCACACACGTACCCGGCTCCTGGGAACAAAGGGGACTGCTGGGTGGTAAGCATTTTTTTTAAATCTTGCCATCTGTATACTCCCCCCTCGTGAAAAAACATGGGACAGCCCCTAACTAACCTAATAACCTTCTGATGGCCCTGCAAACTGGGTGTTTTATAGGTGGGGAAACTGAGGCACTAAATGGGTTGCCCGGGGTTACAGGATCACTCAGCTACCATTCGCACACAGAATCCATATGGCAGGCTGGATTTACACGTGCCCTCGCCCTCCACTTCACATGAAACACTGTTGAAACCCTGCCCCGTGCCATGTCTAATCTGGGGTCTGAGCCAGAGAGCCAGTAACCAACGCTTTTAGAAAGTGCACGTTGGCCATCTTTCAGAGCAGCGGACCGGGAAAGGATTCAGCAGCCAAAGGAAGCCCTAAACAATGAAAGAGCTCATCTGCATATCGCATTGCAAATGCAAATCATGCTGGTATACTGGGATTTGTCACTTAGTCCATTGGCAACTCCGTCCATTTGTTAGGTCCATGATTACCGTTCAGGGGAGCCCCGTGTGCCGACAATAGGCTACCAAGTCACAGTGCTAATCCACGCGGCCTTCAGCGTGAGCCAGTGGGGGGCCAGCCAGGTGTTCTGTCTGGCAGCGGGTATGCGCCGCCAGATGCCCGTGGATTGCTGGAACCACTTGCTTTAACTGCATCCTGCCCAAGGGCTCTCTTCCTGCAAGGCAGAGCCCTCTAGCCACCTGCATGACCATCAGCTGTACGCCTGTGCCCCGTTCTCTCCCCGCACCCCAGATCCTGCAGCGGCCGTGCAGCAGGACAGCTGTTGCTATCAACAGGCGAAGTCTGTTCTCGTTAGGAATTTGCAATAGCAGTAGCGCCGCGAGGCCCCAAGCAGCACAGGCCCCGTGGCACTAGCTTGCTGTGAATATATCCGTGGTGAAAGACAGTCACGGCCCTCACCTGGCTCACGCTCGAAAGACACAAGGCTGGGAGAATGGAAGGGACCGGACAGGTGAGGGGCTGAGGCCTAGATCGATTAAGGGATTTGCCCGAGGTGGGGTGGGGGCGGAGGTGTCACACAGCGCTCGAGGGCACAGTGAGCAATGCGGTGCTCGGTGCGTCTCCAAAGCCAACCCCAAGTGCTGGGTCTTCTTGGTTCCCCTCTCCCGGGTGGTTCTCCTTTCCAAAGCCGGATTCTGTGTGTGGGGCACCGACATGCCCCCAGTCAAAGGGATCTAACTGGGCTCTTGGGGGTCACGGCTGTGGCTTTGCTTTGGGATCCGCTGGGAGAGAACACACACGTTCCTCCAGCCCATGGAGCAAACCCCTGCCTTTAGGTCGCTACTTCCCCACCAATGTGAGAGTTGCACTAAGTATGGGCCGGATTCCTCACGGCCTTCTGCCTTGCACCTGTGCAAAATGCCCCCTTGTGGCAGGGGTGGGCAATCATTTTTGATGGGGGCCGCTCCGAGGTTTGGGCCGCACTTTTGCAAAGAGGGGATGCGGAGGCTGGGTGCAGACTGGGCTCGGGGTAGGGGATTTGGGGGCAGGAGAGGGTGTGGGATCTGAGAAGGAGTTTGGGGGACAGAGGGGGTTGTGACCTGGGGCAGGGGGGTGCAGAGGGTTTGGGTGGTGACCTGGGGCAGGGATTTGGGGTACAGGAGGGGGTGGGGAGCCAGAGGCTGGCTCTGGCCAAAAGGGTTGTAAGCAGGACTAGGGGTTCTAGGTCTAGGAGGGGGTTGTGACCTTGGACAGCGGTGCAGGAGGGAATGTGCCTCTCTGTGCCACAGGCAGCAGGGGGAGGCTTTGTGTGCTGCCCCCGCCCCCAGCACAATCTCTCAGCTTCCATTGGACGGAAATTGGCCAATGGGAGCTGAGAGCTGGGACCAGGGGCGGGGGAAGTGCACAAAATCTCCCCGCTCCTGACGCATGGTGCAGAGGCACGTGGACCAACCAGACGCTTTGGGTGGGCTGGGGTTGCTCCCTGCCTGAG